CACTTAAAGGCTTCCATGAAATACAAACTGCTTTGGCACATGGAAACGGCACACAATGTGGGTTCTGCTCACCAGGAAAGGTGATGAACATGTATGCGTTGGTGGAAGGATCTGAAAAACAGTTGACGGAAAGCACAGTGGAAAATTCGTTTGGAGGCGTACTGTGTAGGTGTACTAGCTACAGACCAATTGTTCAGTCATTTAGATGTCTCGTTAGAAAAGAAAAAGGTAAGCATCTTCTGAATGCCTCTAGACTGCTAGCAATTCTGTTGAATACTGAAACTATTTGAATACTGCTTTATGGATAGAATGGTATTATTTTAACATTTTGACCGGAAACCGACCCGGCGAAGGAAAATCTACCTCAACAACAATACATGACTTTTATCAAACTCTTGCCGGAGAGTGCGCTGTTGTTGAGTTTGTCAATCATGAAGTGTTGTTGATCAAACTATAAAAATATGGCATAAATGGTACATCGTGTTGGATGAAAGCGTTGTTACTAATAGGTCTCAATATTTGTGAATATCTAAACTAAAACTAATATATACTGTCCATAAAATTTCATCATCTTCATCCCTACTGAGCGGGGCCATGGCAGATGCTTCTTTCGGAAGTTGTTGTACAAGCCCGCCAACGGGCCACTTTAGCTCTATTTCATATCATTAACATGCAAAAAGTAGGAGGTCGACAAGGTCCAACCAAAAGGGGCGGTAGAACCCGCTAGCTCTTTACAGGGTGTTAAGAATGCTTGCATGTTTCCACATATAAGGCCCGTATCGTCAGTCGTCCCTACAATTGTAGGGAGCGTTTATGGCCTCCTTGATTGTCATACTCCTTTCTCTCATTCAAAAATTTCTAGATTACACTTGTCCCGTGTCAGCATCAGCGCTCTCCTATTGTGAAGATATGTTTTCTTTTTAAATTGTAGGAAATTTCAGACTGATAAAACTATAACTCAAAAGCAAGCACAATTTGATGTAAATAGATGTTTGTGACATAACCTCAAAATAGAGCGCTGACACGGAGAAGTAGAAAACTATGACAATCAAGGAGGCCATAAAGGCGCCCTACAATTGTAAGGAGGACTGACGATCCGGGCCTTAGGTGATGCAATGCAGTAAGATTGCGCATGCCCATATTTTTGGCAGCGGTGACACTGCCCGATGAGTCTTGAGTTCTTTTGAACTTCGACTCGGATAGCCAAACCTAGCAGCTCATGTTCGTTGAACAGCTGCTGAGATTTTTCTATCTTGGGCAGTATGACTACCACCAAAGGCATGAGCACGCCGCCACCGCGTTTCAGGCGAATTATGTGCAGGGGGGAATATCCCCTCTATTGCAACTCTTCCTTGATCCCCGTTTCCGAAAGTGTCGCAGGTACTCCTCTGGTTACAGCATGAATGTTCCTCTCCGAGGGTAGAGGGAAAGTGTGATGGGACACCTCTTCCTCCCTGAAGAGACGAATAATGCTGTGGTAATCATCCTCGGACTTGAGAATTATCCTGATTCCTGCATCGACGGCAACCGTGCGTTCAATTTTGATGCCCAAAGAAATAAACTTGAGATTTACGCCTCGCCATCTCGAAGCATCGCGAAGAACGATGGGGGTAACACGTACCTTGCGTGGGGACTGTGCAGTCGTGTCTTCTGATACCTGAGATGTCGAAGGCGAAGAACTAACCGATAGATTACGCACAGGCTGTTTATTAGAGTCGCTTGCAGTTGAACGAGACGTTTCAGACTGTGATTTTGGTGGTGGGAGAGGAGGAACGCCTGTCATGTCGGTCTTGTTTCGCCGCGTTTTACGGGACTTAACCGTGACAAACCCATTAGGGAGTGTATCGTCGTCGTAGAATGACCGCTTGAATTATTTAACGGTCTCTTAAGATTGATAGCTTTGCCTTTACTGGGATTTTGTTGGAGTGTTTGGGAAGACTGTGTAGTATTTAGATGGGAAGGTACCTGGGTTTTCAGTAGGACGTCTAATTTAACTGTTAGGCCGTTAATCGTACGCTGCTGGGCTTCGATGATCATCGACAATCTTTCAATGGTCTTCTTATCATCGTCCTTTTTGACAGCTCCTATCGAACCATCTCCAATTCGACTCTCAACTCCTCTACGGTCTGCTCCCTCGACCCTTCTCGATGGCCATGGTGGAAACGCCATTTCCTTACCCCCCTGGGTCAGTTTCCATAGTAAATATCTCAGTTATCTCGCTTTTGGTCTCAAACATTTTCGGGATTGAAATAACGGGACAGCTGCTATCAGTGCCCTATACAGGGCGATTTTTAGAAGCTTATTGTTAATACAACTATTTGTCTGACGCATTGAAATACAACAGACATGGACTGAAAAACCGTTATAAATGAGAAAGACGTACTTGTGTGATGCAGATGTATACTAAGTGACATATAAATCCGAACACCCAGTTTAAATGGTTTTATTTTAATAAAAGTTGGTGAATGTATTTATCTTACTGTAAATAACAAGTGAAAAAATGTTCAGCCTTATCAGTTGGACATTCCGGTTTTTATACTGCTTTTTTTTAATTCACTAACGCTCTAAAAATGAATATTTCAGCCGCAGTAAAGAATCAACGTTGGCGGATTTTGGTTCTTGACATCCTTTAAGATCGGTTACGATGCCTAGAGTACGGAGACCTGTACGATTTCGTCAACTTAGTGAGTTTGATAGGGGCCGTATAGTGGGACTTCGGGACGCTGGACTTTCTTTTCGGGCAATTGCAGTTAGAGTGCAAAGAAGTGTAGACACTGTGGTTAGGTGTTGTCAGGCATGGCTTCGAGAAGGCCGTACGCAAAGAGCAAGGGGCACTGGACGCCGCCGTAGAACAACAGACCGTGAAGATCGCCGCCTAAGATTATTGGCCTTAAGGGACCGTTTCTCCACTACCAGGTCCATTGCAAATTTAATGGTTTGCAGAACACGGAAGACCTATTGACATGCGAAGTGTTTACCGACGAATGAGAAGTTTTGGCTTGTTTTCATACCGGCCACACTGGGTCCTCCCTTTAACTCGAGAACACCGACGTAATTGCCTTGAGTGGTGCAGACAACGGTCACTCTGGGATCAGGAAAGGAACAGTATTGTCTTTAGTGACGAGTCTCGATGTTGTTTAGCCATGCACGATGGTCGTGCCAGGGTTAAAAGGCGACGTGGTGAAAGGAGGAATCCACAGTTTTGTGTTGAAAGACATGTTCATCACACTGTTGGAGTTATGGTTTGGGGTGCTATAGCTTATGGTTCCAGGTCACCTTTAATCTTCATCAGAGGTAACATGAACGCGCAGCGTTATATCCACGAAGTTCTAGAACCCCATCTTTTACCCTATCTTGACACCCTGGCAGATCCAACTTTCCAACAAGATAATGCCCGACCACATGTTGCAAGAGTCACAATAAACTTCTTTCAACATAATGATGTCACATTGTTACTTCGAGAGGAGTTGGTGGTTGCCTTTAATGAGATACCACAGGAAAACATTGGCCACCTGATCAGAAGCATGCCTAGGCGCGTTGGAGAATGCGTAGCACATCAGGGTGCATCCACACATTATTAAAGGTCAAAGGGCTTTGAAGCAGTGCAATCATTTTGAAATTTTTATCATTTACTTATTATGCTTCATTAAGTACTTATACAAAATTTTATTAAGATAAAACCATTTAAACTGGGTGTTCGGATTTATATGTCACTTAGTATAGTTTGATATTTAGAGGTAGAAGATTCGATTCCGCCCTTTAAAACGACTTGACTCATGCCTTTTCTTTGAAACAACCAACAAAGACGTAGGAGGTATAAAGTGAATCCATTTGACCTCATTTTTTCTTTTTGCATGCTATTTAAAAAAATATAGTTTATTCATTTATTAAATACCAAGACCGAGTCTCAGTTTTGGCTTTATGTTCATCCTGAGTCCGGCTCTGTATTGCGTCGACGCGTTTCATGAATTAGACAGATGCACCGTTGCCAGATGGCAATAATTCTCATGCAACCAAGAAAAAACACAATAAGATCAAGAAAATAGACGCTACCTTTTCTTTATGTCAATTTTTCATGTGTATGGACAAAAACAAAAGTTGTATTATTGAAACTAGATTACACAGTCGTTGTGGTCTTTTGTAATAAATGCTTAACACAAATGAATTTCAAGTAAATGTGATTATTCAAATATATCGCATAGATATAGATGTAGCCTTGATAGAAGTGTTCTGTTGCTACATAGTTGTTACGTCATTAAGATAAAACATAAATTAATTTAACCTTGACACGTCGTTGAGATGCAACTGTGATATTATATATTTTTGATAAAACTGCGATACTGTCCTGAGGTAGACATTTTACTAAACTAGGACTATATATCTGCTAAGTTGGTGATATATCTCTGATTTTCTAAAGAGCACCGGCTTCGTGTCTGTGATGTGAAAGTTCTGGGAAAATATTTTTGACTGTACACACTCATATACAGTGATCAAAAACTTTAAAAGTTATCTTGGCTACGTTTGAAAATTATCTGAACATTAAAAAATACACTATAGCACAATTTGGAGATTCATGAAACTTTTTCGTTTTCTTCTTCATATCTCGGCGTCCCTACCACGCATTTACGAAAATAAAATGCATTATATACCACAGTGAACTGTTGCCAAAAATCCATCAAAATCGGTGCAACTGTTTCTGAGATTACGCGGTTATACTAGAGCCAAAAACTATACAGATAGGAAGAATAATAGATCGATGGGCATGAGTAATGTGTATTTCCATGTAGACTACAAATTACATAAAGAAATTTGTTACATATAAAATACAAAAATCTTCGCGATAACAAATGCGATGCTTTTGTGATCATTGTTAAAGGACATATATACCTACCTACCTATAACTTTTCGTTCTTGCAATTTTATCCTAGTGAGCAAAGTTGACATTCGGCATAAGAAGCGTGAATGCTTAGAATCTTACTCGATTCTAACTAAACCAATTACTATTCTATCAATTCTGCTACTTTTCTGACGTTCAGCGCGGCAACGTCGCAGTCGACTCCAGCTATCCACATCCTCTTCATTCCTGAATTGTCGCTCTGCCGTCAAACGAGTCATTTGTGATCATCGCCGCCCCTTTCAGCTGTCAGTGTTGTTATGTGAATGCCTGTGTGAAACAGTGATTACTTTGTGATACATCTATTTGGCTTATTTGTGATATTACCCGCGCACGCCTTATCCAATCACGTAAGTCTCCGTTATCTATTCCCACTGTCAATAACAATGGTACGGTGCCGTCTATACTTCTGCTCTGATTTGCATCTAAAGGTTTGGATTTTTGTGATTTGTTTTCAGTGAATGACATGTTGAATATTGTAGATGGAAAAAAGTCATTTCAATTGTGAATTCAATCAACGACAGTAAGCGTTTTTGGTGCTAAGTACGCGCCCGCACATTCTATTGATTTTTGTCTATATAGTCCAGTGACATTAGAGAAATATAAAACATGCCGGTTTATTGGAACTCCTGAAAATTGTAGTTAGTAGATTTATTGAAGATTTGAATATTCCTACTGACCACAAGTATTTTTGCCATTTCACCAACTTATAAATAGCAACCGAAATGACCATATAATTTTTTGGATAATAATAAGTAGTCATATTTAACGTATTTTTATTTGTACTTAATAACATTACAGGAAGTGAGATTTTGATATTATACTTATCTATTTTACCACCTAAGCCCCTTAACAATACAATAAAAACTAAACATTTGTTAAAAATTAACACCTGTATACAATAATGACGATAATAAAGCATAATATAAAGGCTTAAAGAAAACAACAAGGTCAGTTAATACTTATGAGTTACAAAAGATTTTGCTGCTGATCAATTAGAATTTCGTTTAATTTTTTCTTGAATTCTGGTAATGAAATAGTGTCTTGTAAACTATGGTCTAAGGAATTATATAATTTGTAAATTATGTATGGGTGTTTCTCTGCTAACTGGAAAGTTGCCCATACAAAACTGTCCAACCATATCATTCTTATAAATTAAGAAAATATATAGATAAATCAAGAGATACTAATTGAAGTAATATGGCGGTTCAAAACCCCACATACAATGCTATTTATTTTCGAATTAAGAACGAATTTATAAAAAATGACAGGGGACTGTTATCTCATCCTAGGGAACATTTAAATGGGAGAAAAAAACATGTTTTAATTAAATTTAAGCAATCGAACTCTTCGTTTTTATTTATTTTAACTATACACTATATACAGCTTCTGAGCTAAGAAACTTTATCTAACTTAACTAGTCACTCTTATAGTAACTCTTACTGGTTACAACAAATCAGTCTTACTATTGCACTTTAAGTAAATATCAATCTATTTTTAAAACACTGGTACAGCTACTGGAAAGTAATAAAACAATGTTTTCCCTTTTGGAGTTAGATCTGTGTTTGGTAACTTATCCAATATTTGATCCAAAGGAACATCAGAAACACGGCTTTCGTCAAATCTAAACGTATGGAGTTTATCGTCACAAATTTTCATAAATGTGATTGTCACTTCATCTTCCTCATAATCAATTTGATTTACCACTGCAGCATATCGGTATTCTGCTTTTTTTCACGTAAGACTTTACTAAAGCATAATCACCGATATTGTACTGGTTGATTATTCTAAGCTTGACAATGTTCTCTAAATTAGTATTAGACTGCTTACATGACTGTGGAACATGGGTTTCTAAAACAGAGTTGCTATCAGGTAAGTGAAGGACTGGACCAAATTCATCTTCGACTTCTTCGACTCTGAGTTTTCACTGGTCTTCATATTTTAGATCGCCTATCCTGAAATGCCGGCATTCATCGTCACAAAACAAACTTTTCATTACGAGCTTGGTAGTGCCTTTGGCCTTTAAACTTGACATTGCCTGAAAGAAACAGTCCCCTGTAGCATGAAACAGTTCCTTGTCCCAAAAATTGTCAGGGGACTTTGCCCAGAGGACTGTTATTTTAACAAAGAATGTTTCTTCTCATACAGTCATTCAAGAATTATACAAAATGAACAGATAGGCATGAAAACAGACTTTGTGGGTAATTATGCTATATAATTTTTTTAATCACTCTAATGAACAAAAAAATTACTTACCAGTGGACTGTTACAACTATCAACCAAGACGCGTGGTTCACAGACAAACGCAGCAGTAACACTAAATAACCATGACGGCCACGTCCACCCTCTCACTCTGCAGCTTTGTGAATTTCCCATCGGTGTGTTCGTTTTCAAAATGAGAACAACCGCGCCAATGTGTTGTATAATTTTGGCAGAGGACTGTTCAAAAAGTTTGGGGACAAATTTGGCTTTCAGTTTCGTAATTATTTTTTTATCTTAACAATATAATAGTGGTTTTTAAAGGTACTTAGCGTAACCCAGTATTGTTTATATATAATGTAATCAATAATTTACATTAATAGTAACAAACATGCGTCATAAGGCTTCTCGTACTGAAAATGGGACACGACAGGGGACTGTTTATTTAGGTGTTTGAACTGCATTAAATTTAATATTACAGTATTATATAAGAAAATGAACAGTGGCGTATCAAGCATAGCTAATAAGGCATCATTTTCATTACATAGAACTTAGTAATAATAAGATCTATTGAACAGGGTGTTTCAGTTTATTGTTGCATAACTTTAAGATTCGATAGAACTTTTAAAATTAATGCATAAAGTCTATATAAACATGGGTCGAAAAATGCGTTGCTTCCGAAATACAGGGTGTTTAAATTTACTTTCTAAAATAGTTTTTTTTTTTAATATATCGAACAATATTTGATGTATAACAGTGAAAATTGGTATACAAGGGTTTTTTGGTACGACAAAACGAACCATGGGCATAGTTTTACTGTAGCTGCTGGAGAGCGCTCTCTACTGTACCTGTAGTGTATTAAAATGACCGAAAAATTTTTCTTAGTGCAATTTTTTGCTTTTTGAATAAAAAAAATGATTCTTCGCACTTTTCAACATAAAAAAGCTCTCTTGTGAATTTTCGTTATAGTTAGCCGTTTTTGAGATATTTCGATTTTAAGGTTCGATGCATTTTTAATTATCTATGATAAAATAACGTTAAAAAGTCAGTATCTCGATAATTTTTAGAAGTAGGCTGTGCCTGCAAATATTTTTGAAATTGAAAGCAGAATAAGGTTAAACGTCAATTAGTTGACATTTAGTTTTGTTGTCTATTGAAACCTGAAACGTTTTTTTTGCAATTGTGAATGTACGAAATTTAGTTTCTTTTACCTGTTTTTTTTTTGTAAGTTTTATAAAAAATGCCATTTTTATTCTCCAATCAAGAGTTAGCGGATATTCATTTTGTGTATGGCTTTGTAAATGGAAACGCAGCAAAAGCAGCCAGAGAATACGCACCAAGATTTCCAAACAGACGACATCCAACTCGCTTGAAAATGGTTTTGGAAATCTCCAAAGGGATCAAAACATAAATGTTCGTCAGCGCAGATTTACCCGTATGATTCTGCGTGAGTTTGATAGAGATCCGACCACAAGTGTTAGGAGTGTTTCTGGTGCCTTGGGAATTTCAGCAAGCCATGTTCACCGTGTTCTTAGAAATGACCATAGACGTCCTTACCATTTGCAACCTGTGCAAGGACTACAGCCAGGGGACGGAGAACGAAGAATCACTTTTTGTCAGTGGATTCTTGATAGAACTGATAATAATAGGGAGTTTTTAAGTAACGTTTTATGGACAGATGAGTCATGCTCCATTAGACGTGGAGTGGTAAATTTTCATAATCAACATATTTGGTCGCATGAAAATCCGCACGCAGTTCGGGAAAGAAATTTTCAGCATGAATTTAGTGTGAACGTGTGGATTGGTATCTACCCTAATCGACTATTTGGACCCTACCTTTTGCCTGCAAGGTTAAATGCTGCGACCTTCTTGGAATTTTTAAAGGCTGAACATGCAAATATGTGGGATGATGTTATGTTAGATTTAAGAAGATTGGCCTGGTTCCAGCTTGATGGTTGTCCAGCTCATTATTCGAGAATAGTTAGAGGCTGGACGAAAATTATCCAGAAAGATGGATCGGCCGTGGAGGACCAGTCGCCTGGCCTCCATGATCCCCTGACCTAAATCCATTAGATTTCTTTGTGTGGGGATTTCTAAAAGAAAAAGTATACCAGACTCCCATAACCACAAGAGATATGCTAATAGACAGAATCAGGAATGCATGTGAAGAAATAAGGCCTTATTTGAATAATGCTATACCACGTTCGATCATTCGTAGATGTGAATTGTGTATTGAACAATTGGGTTTACATTTCGAGCAACTACTTTAGATTTTGTATGTTTGTCCTAACTATCCAATAGCATTCAATATTCATTTAATTTGTTAAAAATAATATTGGAAAATTAAACAAATTAGTATTCTGTTTTTTTGTGTTTATTTGGAGTTAGGAATTATTGCTGTGTTTAAAAACACAATCTAAACGATCATCTTAATTACTTGTAATGCCCGAATCGATAATGTAAAAAAAATATTATTTTCCCATGAATAATTAAAAATGCATCGAACCTTAAAAATCAAAATACCTCAAAAACGGCTAACTATAACGAAAATTCACCAGAGAGCTTTTTTATGTTGAAAAGTGCGAAGAATCAGTTTTTTTATTCAAAAACCAAAAAATTGCACTAAGAAAAATTTTTCGGTCATTTTAATACACTACAGGTACAGTAGAGAGCGCCCTCTAGCGGCTACAGTAAAACTATGCCCATGGTTCGTTTTGTCGTACCAAAAAACCCTTGTATACCAATTTTCACTGTTATACATCAAATATTGTTCGAAATATTTAAAAAAAAACTATATTAGAAAGTAAATTTAAACACCCTGTATTTCGGAAGCCACGCATTTTTTGACCCATGTTTATATAGAGTTTATGCATTAATTTTAAAAGTTCTATCGAATCTTAAAGTTATGCAACAATAAACTGAAACACCCTGTATAATTTAATCAATAATTTACATTAATGGTAACAAACATTTGTCATAAGACTTCTCCTACTGAAAATGGGACACGACAGGGGATGGTTTATTTAGGTAGAATAGCTAATAAGGCATCATTTTTATTACATAGAACTTAGTAATAATAAGATCTATTATATAAATTTTGCCTGGGACAGCTACTTCCCAGTTAGTGTAGAAATGCTCGTATTCTGGAATAGTGATGTGCAGTGGCATGGAATTGAAAAAGTCTGTCTATATGTAATAATAATGCTACGCATATTTCTTCACTGGCGTGAAGTTTGCAGCCCCCTTTTTTCCCAACTACTTACTTTTTA